GGGGGGGGGTGGGGGGGAGAGTCTGAATGGAAACACGCGAACTCACGGAGCGGTACTTCGAATATGTTGTGTTTCGGTCTGTGCGTGTGCGCCGTATTTTTCTTGCGTGACTTTGACTTTCGATGTGTGTGTGTATGGCAGCGCAACACTACAGGACACTGTACAAGTAGGAGATAAAGTAATCGTTTTCAGTTCAAATATGGACGCACGCCATTTGCAATTACTTCACCTGTACTGCGTGTTGCACCAAAGTTCAATTTGCAGTAGAACCGCAAGCCTCACAGCAAGCCCATCCTGTGTCTCATACCACGAGTAGCGCGTCCAAAGATAAGCACGCTTGATCCGCGCAATACCTCTTTTTCCAAGCGTTAAGCACCTCTCTCTGTCTCGGAAGCACTTCTGAACACAATATATTGTACTCGATGTATGTACTCCTCGTGTCATTGTTCGAAATTGTGCGAAGTTTCGTGTCGATCGGTTCGGTAAAGGGCGCGTTCTCGTGTTAAGCTTGCCGCGCGTGCACACCACAGGAGGTCCGGCCGCAGCAGGGGCATGGATCACATTTTATCGGCAGAGTCTCGAAGCCTGCGCCGAGCAGTTCTCGCGCTATAGTCAACGAAATTCCGTGAAACCAGCTTTCCTGAATAGCTACTGGTCTATTTTGCTGTACGCCGACAAAGGTGGCAGTGCGGACGTCTGATCGCCGGTGGGCTGGCCAACTGCAGTACTGTACAGTTTGCAGTCCGTGACGCCAGGTCGCTGTTAGAATTTTGGTTCACTGCTTGTGCATGCACAGCGTATGCCACCAACCTGCACGAGGGCGCCAGGCGGACTTTTTAATAAGATTCAGAGATGAATGAAGAGAATGGGCAGATGCATCGTGATTTGTTTGCTCTCCTTCTCACGTAAGTACTTTATTGGTGTACTGGTATAAACTGGTCTAGTTGGTGTCCTCGAACCTTCTAGACGTCAGGTCAGGGGTTCGGATCCCGGCGTAAGCGAGCGTTTCTTGCAGAGTGAATTTTTCTGTCGCTTCCGCTGCTGGCCTGGTGGATAGCGCCAGTTCGTGTTTACACAGAGGGAAGAGAGTGCTGAACTCTTCTCGCATTAAAAATCCAAGGCAAAGTACCGCAGGACGGGAGGGTAGAGAGGCGCTCTTCTTTGTGACCACGGGTTGGAGTGAACGGCACTAGAGAGATCCCCGACCGTGCGGCCTGATCATTCATCCTCGGGAAGGCCTTCTGTCGCCCAACAGCAATACTTCCGTCTCAATCGAAGGACCTGCCAGTGGATGATGTCGACTTACTCCAGCGTCTCCCGAGAGTGCCACTTCTTCCTCGCTCCCGGGACAGCTGACGGAACGACAACCAACCCCCGCGCACCCGCTGGCGGTCGAGGCAACCACACACACCACTTCCTGTTTGCTTCCTGGAAAGCGGTCATTCCTACAGTAGATCAAGTCTGCTCTATTTACATACACACATATAGTTAAGGACAAGGAGACTGGTGACGAAGCGATCCCCGCTCCCGCGCCTGACCAGATGATGATGTCGGTGGAAACTTTATGATCTAGTCTATCAATGAGTGGAGATCTCAGGAGGATTGTTGTACTCAATACGCCCCTCAACTTGCGGGACGTCTTCCCACCCACGTCAAATGTGGTCCATCGTCAGAACACTGCCATACAGATCACAGATAGCGCCCGCAGTTAAGAAACGTCAAAATGAAATCGGGTCGAGCCTCAATCCCTCACTTTCGGTCAACGGACCGGCCGAAGTCGTCCATTTTCTTAGATGTCATTTCGTATTCCTTCGGACTGTCGAATACTCCCGATTCTTCTCAGAAGTACTTCGAATTAGCATATCTCTGTCTCTTTATCTGTGAGGACAATCCACTTCATCAAGCCCTCACGAGAGGCGGTGGACAGTGCCATCAAACCCACACGACAGCGGAGTATGTGGTTGTCCGCGATTTGTGGCAGTACTACAGTACAGCACAGCAGTGGACAGCAGGGGCGGGGGGGGGG